ATAACAAATACATTTAGCTTCTTGTTTTTCTCAAATTTGCCGAAACTTCTTGCGTCAGACGCTTAGCCTTAACAAAACTGCTACAAATTATGTCGTCTCATTAAACTCTATAGATAAGTTCTGTTCTTCAGCAACCTTCTTAGATGAGTTTAATGATTTCTCCTGGCTCAATACTTGTTCTCCCGTTGTAGTTTTACCTTATGTTACTAAACATTTTAGATTCACAAAAGACACTGTAAACGAAATGGGTCCTGGCCCATTCTGATTTACAGATTGTGAGTATTACACATTCAGTGAACGAAATTTAGACCACTTTAATAAGGTCACGCTCGCTGAGTAAGTATGACCGCAATAAAAACATCTGACTATCTTCTGCATATGTTATAATATCTCTTCTATACGAAATTTTGTTTTTGCATGTAATCGAAATTTTAATAACTGACCTAAAAAGGATTAATCTATTTGATTATTTCACTGATAACCAGAAAAAATTATTACTTAGGCAGACAAATTCATAGCAGTGAAAAGGATTAACACACTACTTCATTACTTCTAGAATAAAAAATATAATAGAACAAATCTTCATATTTATGATTTTTTTATGATTTTCTATCTTATTTTTCATTCTAAGAGAAATACCTGTTGTTAGTAACATACGCCATTAATGACACATACATATGTTACGGACATTAAAAACAACGGTTGAAGACTGGAATTAAAACATGTTACATTTTAATTTACCATTCAAAAACCCCTCGTATAAGCAATACGAGCCATCCAGATGCAGAGCTTCAATTAAATGGAGTCAAAGTTAAAAAAGTTTACAAAATTACATATTTGGGAACTGTCATAACGGACCGACTAGATCCAGACAGAAATAAAACAAAGAATAGCAATTACTAAAACTACTTAAGATATTTCTTTGCAATAATTATTATTTTAGTTTGGATCTAAGACAATGGTTAAGTGCTATATTTGGTCTATACCTTTGTATGAAGCAGAAGTGTAGACACTAAAAGTATCAAGTATAAACAGAATTGAAGCATTGGAAATGTGAATTCATAGACGGATACTGAAGATACCTTGAACGGCAAGAAATGCTAATTAGGAAGTACTAAGTAGAGTCCACAAAGTTACAGAATTGCTAAAGACTGTTAAACATAGGAAAATATCTTAATTGGGACATATAGTGAGGGGAAATTGATATAGTACATAACAATTGATCCTTAAAGGCAATGTGGCAGAAGATCGAGAAGATTTCGCAGTGGTGATCGCCAACGTTGCATAAATCTGATTTGGCACGTGAAGAAGAATAATAAACAATTTCATGGTATTACCTGGAAGTAGTGGAAATATTGAAGGAAATATGATTTATTTTTACTGGGAGATTGCGTCGATTATTATTGCGCTGAGCTTCGACATTCCCGTTGATGTCTTATTTAGGGCTTTCGAGTATCCCGAGCTCCTAGGCACTACTACACTGATTACTAATTACCGCATTACTGTTACTGGAAATAGAGGATGAGTCATTTATACCGTCGATGGTGATGTGGTTTGGGTGGTTCTGGGTTCTAAGCTCTGGAACATTTCTGACAGTAGTATTTTGATTGACGGGTGAATCGGACGGTATTTTCTTTTATGAGAAGTCTCCAAGTCAAAGGTAACAGTATGCCGCCATCTCTTTTATTAAGACAAGTTGGCCTTTATTTACTTGGCTCTATTTACTTTACTGTTTATTTTTAATTATTTATTATTGTTTATTATGGTTTATAATCAATCTGGTGACTTGTATGAAGATGGTGTTGAACTAAATCCGATATTAAGTCGAAATTGCGAGCAAATTGCGAGAAATGCAATGTTCATCAATCCTATTTTGGATCCTGCGATTTGTTTGGCCTATATAGGATCAGGGGCAGTTTGCACAAAGAATTTTATAAACTCAGTGTTGTTCATTTGGAATGCTGCCTTTGATTGATCGGACAAGAGCTGAACGTTTTTGGTGGGGGGTAAATATTGTCTTTATTCCTGTTGATTTTAGAATATTTTCGATTTTGTCAGTAACACCTTTGATGTAAGGAAGAAAAGCTTTCGTATGATAACGGTCTGGGTCTTTGGATTGAGATTGAGCAAAAGATTGGGCAAAAGATATCTGCGGATGCTCCTATTGATATGATTTTCTGGGTAACCCTTTTGGATGAGTCTTTGTTTTAAAATAGAGAGCTCAGCGGGTCTACTTGCATCATCGCAAAGGCGTATTAGTCCGAAGACAAGCGTATTAATTACAGAATTATTTTGTAAAGCGGATAATAGGAGTTGGCGTGCAAGTAACCATTGGAATGGGTGGGTTTTAGATAAACAGAGTGTTAAAAACCTTGGAATTGGTTTTTCACTATAATAATCAATAAACGGTAGGGTTGAATCAGTTTGTTTCCAACTCCATCGTGAAATATATATGTATATATATATATATATATATATATATATATATATATATATATATATATATTTCACGATGGAGTTGGAAACTGATTCAACCCTTCTATATATATATATATATATATATATATATATATATATATATATATATATATTTCACGATGGAGTTGGAAACTGATTCAACCCTTCTATATATATATATATATATATATATATATATATATATATATATATATATATATATATATATATATATATCTATATCTATATATATATATATATATATATATATATATATATATATCTATATATATATATATATATATATATATATATATATATATATTATATATCTGTATCTTATCGACCGTCTAAAAGTAAAATTAGTGAAGGGGATATCAGGTTTTTCGGTCAAAAATAAAACGATTCTAATAATCTCCTCAAACTCGATATTTCGCTCATATTTATTAGCTTCATCAGGAGTGCACTAAAATTATTATTTGTTGGTAGTAAGTCGTTCCTGATAAGTAATGTTAAAACTTTCCTTGCTACATTTCTACTTACTGTTTGACCAAGTTTATTGTCAAATATTTTAAAAACAATAAGTACTGTACGAGTATACTTCGGTTGTTCAGATAATGTCTATACATATTTCTTGGTAAGAGTTCAAGCGCGGTTATTAGGTCATAACTGAAATGAAGTGTAAAGAATGAAACCGTTAGGCAAACGAAAAACACAATGTGCTAAATTATTGGTGGTATGACCTAGAGTTTTGTTGGTAAATATGAGTACAAGGTAATTCTAGAGCAACAATCGGTCAATTATTTTAAATTTTATGAATAAAAAAATCATGGATAATGTTGTACATATATAACGATTAAAGCCAGGATTTTATATATAATATATATATATATATATATATATATATATATATATATATATATATTGTAGCATCTTTAAGAATAATAAAATGAGCGGTTCTAATTTATGTAAATATATTTATTTATAGGCTTGTAAGCACTACAATACGATAATATTTTTTTTTGTTGTTGTTGTTGCTGTTTTTTCTATTGACATTTACAAATGAAGACCGAGAAATTTATCGTTTACATTTTCGTAGACGGCTAATTTTAAAATTTTAGCTGAATCGGACTTGTAGTTTTGTGTTCACCACGTGTAGAAGAGGGAGTATCACTGGACTTTAGAGAAATGGAGAAAGAATAATATCGAAGACTAATATAAATAAGAGTACGTCGGTTTTTGAAGAGGTGGCACGCTCAGGTGACCCGAAAACGGCTACCATGGAGAATAACGTGACAAAAGTGTACGATCTTGTATTGACAGATCGCAGATAAATGTGCCCGAGACAGCTTAGTCAGTAGATCTCAAAAGACCCCGGGGGTCATATCCTGCCTGCAATTTTGAGCATGAGAACGCTTACGGTGCGATGGGTGCCGCGTTTGCTCACTTCGGAAACAAGCGCATCAGTGACACCAATTCAAAACATTTTTGACGTTGTTTAGGTGATAGCCGTAAGAGTTTCTAGGTCGTTTTGATACCGTCGATGAAACATGGATCCTCTGGTACACACCAGAGATCAACGAACTGTCTAAACAGTGTTATCGGCCAGAAAGGTGATGGCCACCGTTTTCTGCGATTCACAAGGTGTCATCTACATACAATAGGAGAAGAGCAAGATGGTCACAGGGCTCTACTAGACCAAAATATTGGATCGATTCGACGGCGAATTGCAGAAAACACGGCTCCGACACACACGGCCAAATTGGGCGAATTGGACTACAAACTGCTGTTCCCTCCACCGTATTCTTCGGATTTGGCCTCGTACGGCTTCTTTTTGTTTCCAGACTTAAAAAAGTCACTCGCTGGGCAAAAACTTAAGTCAAATGAGAAAGTCATCATAATCGCCGCCACGAAGACTTACTTTGCAGAAAGATAGATATTTTTCGGGTTAAACAAGATGGAGTTTTGCTGGATCAAGTGTATAAATTTATTATCCTTTTGTAGGCTAAGTACTTATTGGACTTATATATATTTCTGAATAAATTGAGTTTATGGTTTTAGTCCATATTGGATTTATATCGCTATTGCCAGCCTTTCTTTTTTTTTTCTTTGTATACCTACATTTAATTCGATAATAGATAATAATTGTTCTCAAAATGTTTCGAAAACAATAAAAGTCGGTACGCTATATTAAACAAATGGACATTCTGATTGTACAAGATATAATTTCTAAATCAATGTTTCACTTGCAATGAATAAATGAACTTGAAAGACCTATCGATGTAATTAGTATTTCACCACAGAAACCAATTATTGTGTAGTTATAATTGTACCAAGACTGATTTAGATATAAATAAGGCTGTTACAGATACTAAACTTTCAATAATTGAGAAAAGAAATTAAAAATTTATTTTATATAAAAAAAGCTTTCAGTATTTTGTATAATAAAGGTATATACATCATCACTTAAATAATTTTACTTAAAAAATTGATTTTTAAATAACATTACTGTTGTTACTATTTTATTTATTTATTTGTTTCAGTCTCTAGTGTTATGCCTGTCGTGTATTTCGTTAGCAGTAGAAGTTAAACATAAATCCTCACATTCGGCTGCTCAGGGACATGGACATGATGATAAAGGTTTGGATTTTCTTAATTTATATATTTTGCTTATATAGGGATATACAAGTTTATTTCTCTAATTACGTTTTCCATAATGGGGGCGTATAATAAATCATACATGGGATATACAAAAAAACTAAATGCCGACATTACAAAAACCCATTTGGTTTCAGAAATAACTTGGGAACCACGGAAGCATTATTTGCAATCAATGTTCTAATATAAAGGTGTAGAGACATGAACGTTGATATTCATATGTGTTTTGTTAACAAACTATTAAAAGACGTTTACTAAAGTAAAACATGATCAATCAATTAAAAAGATTAGAAAACAAAAACTTCGGCAACAACGATAGAAAAATAAAAAATAATTTTACTGATACCAAATAGCAGCTATTAAGGTAGGTTGTGAATTCTATGAAGCAATAAAAATCTAACAAGGAGTTAGACAAGGGTGCATACTATCCCCACTACTGTTTAATTAATACTTCGAGTATATTTTCAATCGAAGTTTTATTCACGTGGATATCTGTAAGTAGAAAATTAATTAACAATAAGACAACACGTCGACGATATAGTTCTAATCGCTAGCAACCTAAAAGGCCTACAAGACCTGGTCACAAGCCACTACGGAATGAAGCATATATATATATATATATATATATATATATATATATATATATATATATATACATATATATATATATATATAAAAATATATATATATATATATATATATATATATATATATATATATATATATACAAATGAAAAGCAGTAAAGCAGCTGGAATACATGGTATAACAGTAGAGCTGCTTAAATAGCAGGCAATAAAAACTGGAAAATCTTAGCAGGCATATTTATGAACTGCCTAAGATCGAGATACATACCAGACCACTGGAATGCGGCAAACATAATTCTCATTTATAAGAACGGGAGCGAAGAGGATATTAAAAACTACAAAACTGTAAGTCTACTACCAATCATATACAAGATATTCACAAAGATCATCAACAAGAGATTAACAAACGCATTAGATGCTTGCTGCACAGCCGAGAGAACAAGCTGGCTTCAGAAGTGGATTTAGTACCATAGATCACATTCATATACTTGAATATGATTTCGAGAACAAAAACTGCGACAGATCATCAGACACACATCATCAGTCTATGAAGACACACATCATCTCTTCATAGACTTTGAAAGCGCATAATGACAATATAAACAGAGAATTCTTAATAAAAGCAATGAAAAAATTGAATATACCAACACAACTAGTAGAACTGATAAAAGAATCTCTAAAAGTAGAAAGTAAAATTCGGTTACAAAATGAATTAACGGAAACCATAGAGATGCTCTATCATGCATCTTGTTCAACATCGTACTCGAGAAAATACTGAGGGACACAACAATCCATACTCGAGGAACAATTATTAATAAAAGCGTGCAAATACTAGCAATTTCAGATGATGTTGACATAATCGTAAGATCAAGAAGAGAAATGATAGAGCCATACAACCAAATAGAACGAGCTGCAGAAAATAGTGGTCTTAAAATCAATCAGACCAAAACAAAATATATGCAGGTAAGTAAAACCGCAGAAAGAAGGCAGCCACAAAATATAACAATAGAAGAATACATTGAGGGGGTAAAAAAAAATTATATACTTGGGATCCCTAGTCACGTCGGATAATAACGTTGCGGAGGAAGTAAAGAGGCGAATATTTATTGCCAATAAATGTTACCATGGCTTAATTAGGCAACTAAGATCAGATAACGTCTCAAGAAAAACAAAATGCCAAATATACAAAACCTTAATAAGGCCGGTACTCACATACGGCTCAGAAACCTGGACACTCACTAAAAGAGAGGAAACGTTGTTAGCCACCTTCGAAAGAAAAATCTTGTGACACATATATAAGGGCACAAAAGAAAACGGAATTTGGCGAAGAAGATACAGCTTTGAACTATACAAAATATATCAGGATCCGGACATTATAACATTCATTAAAATAGCACGGCTGCGTTGGATAGGACATGTAGAAAGAATGGAAAAAGGCGAAATACCAAACAAAATATTCAAACAGATGCCAGTAGGAAAAAGAACAAGAGAAAGACCGAAGCTGAGATACTTAGAACAAATAGAAAATGATATAACAACCTTAAAAATAAAAAACTTGAGGACAAAAGCACGAAACAGATAAGAATGGAGAAGAATCCCGGAAAAGGCTAAACCCCAAAAAGGGTTGTCGAGCCAGTGATAATGATGATGAGATTTCGAGAAGGCTTTTGATTCTATATATCCCAAGGCAGTAATAGAAGCTTTGAGCAACCAAGGAATTAACAAACCGTATATAGAAACTTTAGCAAATATATACAGACAAGTAAAAGCTAAAGTAAAAATTTTTGAAAACACTCCAGAATTTCCCACTACCAGAGCCTCCCGATAGCAATATCACCAAAGCTCTTCACTGCAACTCTAGAAAATATATCAATTGCTGATCTTTATACATTTATAATATATAGACTAAATCCACATAGGGCTAAATATAAAGAGAGGGATAATACCGGAAAAGATAAAGGGAAAGAAAATGATTATGACCAGCTAATACATTCCCATCTAGCTATTAAAGGTTTGCCAGTATTTTTAACAATTTTATTGTATAAATTCACGTCATCTAATTATATCTATACGTTCTAACAGTAGACATTATTTTATATCAGATCACTATATAGAGTTCCGTGTATTGTTACCATATTGAATTGAGTAAAATATAATAAAATTAAAATGTTCGTTTGTTTGGATTCTGTTATACAGTTCTTCTTTATATCCAACCTTTAACTTTATTACATTTAATGTTCAAGAGCGACGTTTCTTGTACTATCACAAAATACCAAGGGGCACTTTGTGCCTCTTATTCGATTGAAAAACCAAAAAAATCACGTAATAAATACAAATGGAACAAGTGGATATTGCTTTGAATGAATTTACCATTTTAATATTACATTTTAACTCTATGGGCCATAAGTTGCAACACGAGCCACTAAAATACATCGAGCAAGTTATTATGCTAAAGCTTAAAACTTTACCCAACAAGATGTGTTATTTTGTAACAGACTGATCGCTTAAAACAAACACAATAATTATGATATTCATGCATCAAACGCTTATTTGGGGGGAAGGGGTATAATAAAACACAGGACGCAAATTTGTTATCAAAAAATTTCCTAATACTGCTTCAAAACTGTTAGTTGAAAAAAACAATTGGATATAATAAACCGGCCTGTAAGTGCTTTTGGGTTTAATAAAAGCATTTGATTTAATTAAAATTGATTATCAAATTTATCTGTTCTCAAATAAAAAGGGACGAGAAAATATTATCGACACTTAATCGGATTATAAATGGGAAAATCTTTCTACAAAATGGCATCAAATGGTGAATGCATCAAAATTTTCTCTCGGATTATGTTAATTAAACATTAAGATAAATAGGTTAGCAGAAAAACAAAATGTCTAACTAAGCAATTTCAAAAAAATTTTAACCAATCAATCGTGGCATATAGATGTAATATTCGCTACACTCATGTATGAATGAAAATTTACTTTCTTTAATCAATTAAAAGAAAAGAGCCAGACGTTGTAATATAACAAAAATATTACTGTAAGTTGTAAGCCCAAGATAAAAAGTAATTATTAGCATTTTTCTTAGTACATTTTATGTCTTTTAGGTGGACAAGTCGTTGTAAAGAAACATGGAAGTTCAAGTGGGAAAAGCAGCAAACATGATGAAGCACATGCCAATAAAGGTCAAGAACTACAAGATTTACATAAAACGTCGCACTTAGAAAAGGGTGGAAAAAAAACATCACACAATGAAGAGGGTGGTCATCAATCAGCTAAACACAGTAGTGGAGGGTCCCATCATGGCTTAAAGTACCAAGAAGGGAAGAAACATAAGAAAGCAAATTACTTGAAAGTAAGTATTTATATTTATACATAATAGATGAAAATTTTAAATAACATGAATAGTAAATATTTAATTAACATCATTCTCTTTGCCTTTATTTCTATGCTAGATCAGCGTCCCTAATTACATTTTTCTATAAATTTCTATCTTGAGACATACCACTAATAATCCCCTTTACCGACATGTCCTGCTTAAGCGTCTCCCCTTAGATATTTTTTGGTCTATCCATCCTACTCCTACCAGGAACTTGCAGATCAACAATTTTTCCTATTGGGTGATTAACTCCTCGACGTTGAACATGGCTGAACCATTAAGCCTATGCACTCTCATTTTGACATTAATTGGTGCTACCCCTAGATTTCTCCTAATATACTCCTTCGTAATTTTATTATTTTTTGTCACTTTCTCATCCACCTAAGCATACTCATTTGCCTCACATGCATTCATTATTTCTCCTTATTTTTAATTGTCCAACAATCACGTCCGTACATTATGGCTGGTCTTATGACACATGCATAGAATTTTCCCTTCGGGTTCATTCTAATATTTCTGTCACACAAAAAACAATTCATTACCTTTCATTTCATCCATTCGACCCTAATTCTACTGCATACGTCTCCATATACTTGCCCATTACTCTGTAATACTTATTCTAAATACATAAAACTATTATTTTTCACCATTTATAATTCTTATTTTACTTTTAATAACTCCTTTTTATTATAGCTGCCTTTATAATGAAAATTTCTTTTGTGTTGGATCTGCCTTGCATAAAACCAAACTGATTACCTGATATTTTGGTTTGCTTACTGATCCACCTATCAGTTACTCTCTCCCATATTTTCGTTGTGTAGCTAAGTAGTTTTATGGTCCTGTAATTTGTACATTGTTGTATATCTCCTTTGTTTTTGTAAACTAATATACTGTGTCTTTATCTGATTGAAATTTGTCCCACCTTCATATTTATAATAAATCAGCCTGTTAGCCAACTTGTTTCTGCGTTTTTTAAATTGCACTATACTTCCCAGGAATATGATTTGGTCCAACTTTCTTGAACAGCTTTCTGGAATATTATTTTGGTGATCATTGTTGTTACTATTTCCGTTAATTTAATTGATTTTCTATGAAATTGTTCATTTAATGTCTGTCAATGATTGTCAAAGTACTTTTTCCATCTCTTTTTGAATCCTTTTCGTGCAGGTACTAGTAGTTTATTATTTTAATCAATCTGACATCCAATTTGAATAAAATCTTTTACTTTCTTCATTATATGTTTAACTATTTTATATATCTTTATTTAACCCTCTATTTTCTGAGTACTGATTATATATTCTTTTTTCTCTTTATTTTTGTCTTAAACTTCATTTAACCAGTACAAGGTATTTTTATTCTCATACTTGTTTCCTGATGTTTTTTCAAGTACTTCTATAGCAGTATATCTAATAAATTGGCCATATTTTTCCAAATTTTATTAAGTTTCCTTTCATATTTCAGCACATTTTTTGCTATTTTTGCCATAAATACCCTTTTTTAATTTTTTAATATCCATCATTTGATTTTTGTGGTTTTCTCCAATATTTTGGTTTATCCTCCAATTAACTTATGTTGTTGGCTCACAGTATCACTAACTATTTAACTCGCAGTCTTTATTTTGTTGTATATATTCTTTTCTTGTTATGAACTACTCTATAACTGTACAATTCTAGAAAAACATAAAAGCAAGATAAATTAAAATGAGATGAGACACCTAAGAGAGGTAGTTGGAAAGACAAAATGGGATAACAACGAGACTATTAGGAGAATGGCCAACCAATAATGAATAAAATAGCAAAGAGACAAATGAATTGATATAAGTATCTGACGAGGATTTAAACCAATACAATTGCGAGAAAAGTCGATAAAGCAAAGAACATCGTAAAAAGAAAAGGGGACAGGCCAAGAAAAAAAATGGATAGAGCATGTAGTAGAGGTGGGGAAAGTTAAACAAAAGTCATTTGAGGAATTTAAAATAGTGACAAGATAGAAAATAATAAAAAAGATAGCTAAATAGAAAGTAAAACAGCTAGCCCAAATCCGACACACTGTTAGGATAAAAGGAAAAGTAGAAATAAATTAAGAAAATACTTTTTTGTTGGCTTTTCCTTTTTTGAAAGAATATGTTAATACTTGCCCTATCTAATGCTTGTACTAATTTTAGCATATCATCTTCAGCTTCATTTGTAAATCTAAAGAAAATTGTACTGCATACTACTACTACATGTATTGCGTCATATCTTCCCTTGGATTGACCCACATGTTTATAAAATTAGTTTCTACTATGACTCTCTCCTCAGAGGTAGGATTGGAATATCACTCAGTATTTCTTCTAATTGATTATTCTCATCCAGACTACTGGCATTATTTTATCACTCGTTTCTACAACTTGTACTGCATTTGCTTACTTGTCTCTATCAGCAATTATACTAACTCCATTCCTAGTGTTAGATATAATTAATAAATACTTAATAATGTTCCTTAATTCAATTTCAAGATTTTTAATATTATTTTACGCATGGAAAAATATAATTGAGTCAATAAATTGATTTCTCCACGACATTCTCCTCGATGAATTTGATGAGTCAGATGATTTGCATCAGCTCCCAGATATACAGTTTTCGCGTTTTTTATAGTGTTGTTATCATTAATGAATTTATTTCGTCTTGTATACTATATAATGTATATGTCATAGTAAATTGAAGTGTACATATTTTCTAAGATTGATCTGCTATTTCTAAATTGCACTTTAGAAATTATAATTTTGAATGTATGTATTTTGTGTGTTCTAGGCAGCTACGCTAATAAATATCTGCATATAGGTTCTTGATTGCTCACAACTTTTCAAATGAATGAATAAATGGTCAACATTTTATAAAAGTACCACTACTAAAGAGGGACTCCATCGGTAACAAAACACAAAATTTCTTCAAAAGTTAAAAAACTCCTAAAATTAAAAAAAAACATGTACAACACGCATACTAAGTGACTTCACAAAAAACACATGAAAAATGTTTGCAAGCACCCAACCATCTGGATGAGTTGAGGTGACAAACAATTTAACCCAGATGGTTGTGTGCTTGCACCTGTACCATAACTCCTAAAATTAAAAAAAAAACATGTACAACACGCATATTAAGTGACTTCACAAAAAACACATTAAAAATGTTTGCAAGCACACAACCATCTGGATGAGTTGAGGTGACAAACAATTTAACCCAGATGGTTGTGTGCTTGCACCTGTACCATAAGCAAAAAAATTTAATGTGTTTTTTGTGAAGTCACTTAATGTGTTGTCTTTTAGATGATTTTTTGAAAACATTTGATGAAAGTTTTGTAGTTTTTCACAAATATGATCCCTTTTTAGTAGCGGTAAGTTTTAAGTTTTTAACCATAGCTCTGAGGATGGCTTCATAAACTGAAAGGGCTCAGCTAGGAATTACATATCTTACACACTTTTAATTTTCTTTTCCATTTATTCATTTGTTATGTGTATACAAAAACATATCAGTCTTTTTCAATTCATAACTTTTCGTTTAGATTATTATAATAATAAAAATAAGAATATAAAAATAATATAAAATAATATAATAATTTAAAAAATAATATTTATAATTATCTTGTCTTTTCAGGGTTTCCGCGAGAAGTACCATAAAGACGAATCTAACAAACATGACAGTTTCTTTAGTAACGGAGAAAAGAGTGGCGAATTCGAAATTTTTGGGAAGAAAAATTCAAAATATTCTTCCGAAAGTTTCGCCAAAAAGAAAGGAAAGAATCATAAGGTGGGTAATATTAGTATACAGATATTATATAATGTACTGGATATAAGATACTATAAGTTCTAGTTGCTATTATTTTTGAGCGATTTAAATATTTTAGTCAGTGAACAAATTTAAAACATCATCTAGCTTCAAGCAAGTTTATATTTTATGGGCTTACTGGTCGTGCTGAATATCTTTCCATATACTAATATCGGGATAACGTGCAAAGATAGCTTTTATTACAATTGAACTTTTAACAATATATTCAAATATAAATTACCCAAAGACAGTAGAATAATAAACCAAAAGAGCAGTGTATAAATAAATGTAACAGCTGCCCAATAATTATATGTTAAGGCATACGTTTTAAGAGAATACAGAAAGAAATATGGAGATCTTCAGAAGAAAATTATAGGAACTAAATAACCCTACTTATTAAGTGATAATAGAAAAGTTGGCTATATGACGTTTGAGGCGTTAAGTGCAGATGTGGGGTTAGCTAATATGCTATTTGGGCCCAAAATAAAGACGAAAATAGCCAAGAATTAAAAAATGAAAATCAAGCAGAAGAAAAATATATAGTGTTGAAGCTTCTATTCAATAACTATACTAAAATATATGGAATAACTAACTAAAAAGAAACCGAATAATAACGGTCTTTGTAATTAGCGAGTAATAATACTCCTGGGTGCCGTAAGTTAAGGTAGAAGCTATCGTGCTAAAAATGAATGGTCACACGTTAAGCGAACTCTAACAATTCTCTTGGGATACTGGGTGAAATTCCATTGAATATCAGCTTTGTTTCTGTACGCGGAGCTCTACAGGAATTGACCAAATGTCCCCAGCTACTTGTGTGAATATGAATACTCACCAACCTACAAGGCAAGCACTGTGTTTAAATGCCAAAAACCCGATCACTGTAAACCAACACTACTCAAAAAGTGCATTGTCACATATAATGCTCGATCAGTCTCTTCCGAGGAGAGATTGGAAAAAATGGAGGAAGAACTCTCACAAGTGAATTGAGATATTGTGGGTATCAGTAAAGTAAGAAAAAAGGAAGAGAATCTTATCACACTCCGATCAGGCCATTTATGGTTCTACCAAGGAGAAGAAGAATCGACAATCGGAGTGGTTAATTTTCTATTCACAAACAAATTGCCAGCCGAATTGTGTCAATAAACCAAATCTCAACAACGGTGGTCTACTTAAATATCAAACTAAGCATACGATATATCCTGAAGATTGTTTAAGTGTTCGCCCCTTCTACAGGACATCCAGGCGAAGAAGTCCAAATATTCTACGATCAATAATATCCTGTGCAATCAGGAAAATACTGGCAACTTTTGAATAGTAGGTGGTGATTTTAACATCAAAATAGGAACTACCGAAATCGACTATTCCTTAACAAGCAAAAAAGAATTATTTAAAGACATAATTATGTTAAACCAGTTGGGTACAAGCAGTGATCACAGGTTGTTAAGAGGGAAAATAACGATATCGTCCAAAAAAAGAGTCAAAACAAACCAAAGAAATGGACAAAACCAGCTAATATTCAGGAGCTCGAAAAATATATTGATAATTCATTAAAAGACACAACAAAAACAGACATCAATATATTAAAGAAACAAACAAACAGGCTGAAACTAAATATTGTCCAACAAACTAAAAGGATAAAAAACCAAGTCAACTTATGAAAACTCTTATAGACCAAAGACAGATGAAAGGAGATAACAGTATAACACTAAATAAAATAAATAAGACGATCACAAAGGCAATAAGAAAAGACATAAGAAACTACAAATTATAAAAGAGTAAACAAGCAATACAGCAAAATAGGGACATGAAAGTGTTGAGAAGGAGTCTGCATATAAATTAACAAACTCAGAAGCAGCTGGAGAAGAGACCACGCTGAAATATTAACCATAGTCGAAGAGTGCTATACAGAGCTATATAGATCAAAAGAAAAATATAATTTTTCAACTCCAATTATTTTAAAAACTAGGGTACTAAACCAAGAATTAGATTTAATGCCCGATATAACAAAATTAGCAATCAAAAAGTCCCTGAAAAAAGTTAAAAATAATCGAATCCCAGGCGAAGACGAAATGGTGTCAGAAGCATTAAAAATTGAAGGAGATCTATCACTTGAAAAAATTACACTACTGTTCAATATCTGCCTTCTTAACGTCAATATTCTAACAGACTGGAACAAGGCTATTATGTTTCTATTCTATAGAGATGAGAAGAAGATGAGAAATGGCCGAAGAGATATCTATCTATAGCACCGTTAAGCAAGGATCTTCTGGCCCTGTTCCTTGAAACTATGGTTTGGAACCATTAGTAATTATTTTTTACGGACATGCGAATTACCTTGTAATTTGAATGGTGAGATTTATTTACATTTTGTATAAAATAATTTAATTGATTTATTGGAAGAATTGTCATCAAACTTAACCCGAAATATATGGTTTATGCAAGATGGTACTCCACCACATTACTTAGAGAGGGCAGTGAGAACATACTTAAATACAACTTTCCTGAACGTTGGATTGTTCGTGGAAGTCATATTCCTTGGTCACGTGGTGAGATATTATTAGAATTATTTGATTCACAAAAAATCCCAAAAGAATAATAAAGTTTATTTAGAACCAATGATGCTATTTGATATGAGACGATTTCTTATGGAATGTGTTGACAAATGAATTAAAGAAAATAGTGGACATATTGAACACTTACTTTGACAAAAAGTATAATGTTATTTAATTTATCTATGTTTTAATTTGGTTTATAAATAAAATGTTTTGGTTATGGATTTAATCGTAAAATGTAAATCGTTTAATGTAAAATCCAATCATTCTGTTATTTTGTCAAATTCTATTGCAAATTATCCTGCTGATATATTTATTTTATTTAATATTTCGTTATTAACTTTATTAAAGGTATTTTATACCAATAAATTGATGTAGTATTTGTTATAATTGTTTGTAATTTTTTATACCAATAAATTGATGTAATATTGATATAGATTGATGAAGTATTGATGTTTTTGTCCAATTTTCTTTCGTTGCCTGGAGTAATTGCTTTAAATCTAAATTATGTAGTTGTAATTATTGATATTATTTGTAAAATGCGATTATATCGAAAACTGTTGAGTTTTGAAGTTATTAACAAGTATACCTTTGTTTGTTAAAATAATGTATGTTTAATATTTTTTATCACAAAAGCCTGTAACTTAAAGAATACAAAAGTTAAGTGCAAATGTATGTCACATATGAGCATCGAGCAAAAAGACAAAAGAGGGAATCTAATCCTTATGAAAAGAAGACCAAAAAAGTGGCCTCTGATGGCGGATATATCCGGAAATGCGAATGCGCCAAATTTAAATTTTCCGACACTTATTAACAGTAGCTATATAATATTTTTCAGAATGTGTCTTAGACGAGAAAGTTTTAATTAATTATTAACGGTAATAGTCTAAAATGCGACACAATTGTTAAAACACTTCAATATAAATAAGATTTCATGTGACATTTGGGACAAACAATAACATAACCCAACTAAATTTGATGTCAAACAAGGAGAGAGACTCTCTTTCCTTGTTTAATGTGGCCTCTAAAGATCGCACTTCCTGTCTAACAATATTTGTGCACCCACTAGCTTTACAATTTCCTCTATTGTCTTTTTGCTCGATGCATATGAGGCATATGTGGCGCCCTCTATAAGCTGCATTAAAGTATACACTAAATTATAATTTCTGATGTTTTATAGTACCCAGTTATGAATGTTTATACTTAAATGTTCACAAACATGAAAGATAGCAAAAATTTAAATTTTAAATTTCCACTTTAACACCCTGAATCGTTCTTAATATCAACATTTTATTAAAGCAATTTATCTTAAATCGGACTATTTTACAGAGTAAAGTGTAGAATCTACAGTATGACCAGTATAAATAAAAACATTAAATTTGTCGATTTTCCTTTATTACAGTTTATGTAGCAAACAATAAATATTAACAAATTCATTATTTTTATTTTAGAATGCATCGTCAGCCAAAACCGGCGGTAAGGCATATAAATCTGGAAAAACACATCATGATTCTGATGCCAAAGCTCATAAAGGACAGGGTGGTTTTGAAAAACATCATAAAAGCGCAGACAAATACGCCAAAAAGCACGCTTCCCATGGAGGCAAAAAATATAAAGTGCATTCAGTTTAAGATGTAATATTTATAAAAATTATAAATAGAGAAAGTATTTTGTTAATACATTTATTTGTAAGTTTGAAACAAATTTTGTAAATTTTTTTAACTAAAATAGACATTTGGTAACAGAAATATAAAATCATAACTTTTGTTTTATTATTGCATCTTTCCAAGATATGTGTCTTTTATAATGTTCTGAAGCTATTTTCTTGTGGTATATTAAAGTACTTACTATTTTAATGGGAATAAGCACAGAATAAATAATAATCAGAATGCCCACTCTCAGATGTTGCCTTTGAAGTTTGTCAGCACGCGAACGCCATGTTTTAGACGGAAACATAGACTCGAATTGAGAAATTTGTGACAATCTTCGACAGAACTGTAATCAAAATTTTTTTTTTTATTTAAACATACAAAACCCACATCAACCACCAAGGGTTATTAGTGGTGGGACATACACAGTAGTACAGTTTGTTAAATTAAAGTTTATTATAAATGTTTATGTCTTTTAGAAACTGCAATAAATCCGAGATATTTGTCGTAAGCGCACTTCTAAGGGTTCCACTAATTCCTCGGCATGTTCTCTGAGGTTGGAACTGCGGACAGTCGACTATCAGATGCTTCACTGTGAGTTGAGTAGAGCAGTAGGTATGTACAAATTGGAGCTGGTTCTTTATTTAGAAGGTGTTGGTGTGCTAGTATTGTGTGGCCGATTCGAAGACGATTTACGATTACTTGATCTCTTCTTTTTCCTTATTGTGGTAGGCTGGTGTCTACTCGAGGCTTTATTGTTTTCAACTTAGAGTCTGTTGCATCCAAGGTGGCTTGCCATAAATTTATTATATGATTCATGGACTGTCGTTTATGGTCGGTGTGGGGGTATTTAGTAATTTCTGGAACATTTTCATTTTTGATGGATTTTAATGCTAATTGATTAATAGTTGCTAATAGCAACTTCCTCGTTGCTAATGTGTGAAGGTATCCAGATAAATGTAACCTTTTTATTTATATGGTGTAGTGCATTAAGTTCATTTCTTATATTTTGTTTAAATTTTTATAGATTAATAATTTAGTCCATTTGAAATAATTTAATATATTTTTCAACTAAAAGTACGAATAAAACAGTGGATAAATATTATTTCTGTAGTTGCTGTAAATAAATTAAACCGGGTTAATTATTTGTCTATGCACACCAGATAAAATGTGACTGCACAGCTCTGGTTCCGCTTAAAATATGGCTGATTCAGTCTGCGCGAACGAAATGCGCGTACTTATTTTTTCAAGCAGCGCGGGCATTCTGATTGTTTATTTTTCTGTGGAATAGCCACAGTTCAAGTTTAAAATAAGTTTATTGACATTTCAATTTACGCTTCGGAAATCTTTCTCAAATACTTTATTAAAGTTAATATTTTAAGAAGAAGAAGAATTTCCGAAGTGCAAATAGAAGCGTCAATAATTTTCTTTTAAACTTTAACTGTGGCTTATTCCGATGAAAATAGTAATTATGTGTCTTTTGTACTTTTGTATATAATTGTTTGTATATGTCATGAATTGTAGTGGAGACAAACGCATTACCGAATACAATACATCGAAATGAGAGCGGTGACATGAGTTGTCGAAACGTTTGCATAGTATGATTTTTAAAGTACGAAATTTTATAAGTACGCCACAACAATATTAATAAAATAAACAATATCTGATAAAGTACTTACAAAAAGCTCCCACTGATTTCAGTCGGCGAAATCAAGGTATTGAGAGTAAACAAACACTTTCAACACTATTCGACACATCCTTTTTAGTATTATACATTAGTTTTTAGCAATACAATTTGTACCTACCACAACTTGTGCGATCCAAAGCTCATCAAAATATAAATAACTTGTGCAGTTATAACAAAAAAGAACGGCCAAGTACAAGCATTTCGATTGACAGAAAACAGTATCAAATTATGAATAAGAACACAAGTAATGGAAAATGAAACTGGGAAACCTATTTCAATAAATTAGTTAATACTTAAAAACCGTTTCCTCCAAAAGATTTTGAGAACTGGAAATAAAGCAAACGCAAAATTAAATAGGTACTATAAGGGTTGTAGGTTATAAGGTGTGAGGTACACGACAGGGATAAGATTATTTTCGTGTTTCTTGGTATCTGGTACTTTTACTATTGTAAAAATACAACTAGTAGCAATTGCAGGTTGAAATAAATAAAATGCACATTACTGTGAGCGGTATAATTACCGAAAAGAACAATAACTTACAACATCTTAAAAAAATAGGTTACAACAACATTATGTCCAGAGCTTGCAATCTAATGACTGACTAAATATCAATTGACAGCATCCGATCACACCATACTACGTCATCGGGTGGCAGTGATGACATATTAATTGTGTTACATCATCCTCCTTTGGATCAGAGGTAGAGTATGCCTAATATAAAACAAAATCAGTAACTATTGGCGAGGGCGTAGTTAATTTTTAATAATATCCAAAATGGGTTTATAAAAAGTAGTTGGAACTAGCCACACAATGAGGTCACATGACACTTAAATTAGATAATTAGAGTAACGATCATTATAATTCTTAAGACACTTAGTTTCCTTAAAAAATGTAATCCTTTATTATGGACCTTATGTAATTTAAGGCTTATCTAAGTTCATTATGTGGCCAGTTTCTCCAACTACTTTATAAACTCTAATAATATTATCAGTTGACCAGGGTACCGCAACTGTAATTATCGACAAAAGCCAATACCAGGAGAGAATTTAAGAATTGGTCACAAGTGGACCCCATGATACTATGACTATAAGATAAGATATTGCGCATGTTTTTGTGACGTCATTGGAGACTTGCACGCTCGAAATGTCAGTTTTTGTATATATCAATAAATAATCTTTAATAAATAGTTTGGAGATATCCTTATGTGTACGATTATTGTAATTATTAAACCTCTTAACTTATTTTCGTCTAGTAATTTCATCACAGAATGCATACAAATCTCATTTAACTTTAACAAGAATTCAAATTCTAGTCTCCAATGAAGGCATGCGCGAACCCGACCGATTTTGAGCTACGAGAAGATCCTATCTTGTTATTCATAGTATCATGAGTGGACCCTACACTAAATAAAAAAAGACTCGAACAATTCATTGCAAAACACAAAATATAAAACACTGCACAAATTCAGGAAATTCCTGACAGGGTAATTAAAATTAATTTATTGAAATTTGGGTTTAAAGTACCAAAGATAGCAGTGCCAAAGATTCAGGTATCTATTATCCTGACTACCAACTAAAACCGCTCTCTCTTACTTGTGCGCAGTTGACTGTCGCACGTACAGTATACTCCATTCCACGAATATACGACTGTTTTAAATTTGTTTTAAGGTGTCAATTTAAATGGTCCAATGTACTGAACTGTACAATAGTAAATTCTCCCCATTTTTAAAATACTGTTACGACAGATATAAACCTTAGATTTAAATATGAAGTCATGATATAAATATAAAGTTAATACTTTATAAACCAGTTGTAATTCAGATTTTGAAGTATATAATCATGGAGTTTATTTTTTCATTTCAATTATTTTATTGTAAACAAGTTGGTTTTTGAATTATGTGATTTAAACGAAATGTAACAATACTTAAGTGATCAAATAGTGTAAATTTTTTAGTCGAATATTCAATTAATATTAAAAAAACGAAAAAACTTACTTATTCACTTATTCTCTTAATCGTCTAAAACTATCATCAACGATCAGATTCTCAGATATAATCAGTCGGCGATATATGAAACTGTATATAAATTTTAGTTAATTTTTAATATCTGTAACCACTCGGTACTTTAACAACTATCAATAGCCGGTATGTTATACCCGTTACTTTCGGAACTTTTAAGAGTACGTAAACTCAAAGCAAACAAAATATTTAAAACTAACAAAGTGAAATATAAGATCCTTTTTCTAGTTTGAGAAACATCGTTCTGACAATTTCTTTTCATTTATATTAAAAATAGTATATTTCTTTTTATTACAGTTGTAAGACCTAATAAAGTAATAAAATGTGTTATATAAAAGAAACCCGGCACGCCTCTTTGGTGTTTACATTTCACGGAAAGCTTACCCAAATGTGTGATGAACAAATTTGGCTTCATAGACGTCATTGTATTTATTTGTAGATTTTAACTGAAATAATTTTATTTTAGATGTCATACTAGTAGACCCGTTTTATTGGAATAATGATTAGACCAATGGACCTTCATACTTCTACTTGCACAGCAAAATATTCGTTGTCGCAGTAAACCAAAACAGTCGTATATTCGTAGAATAGCCTATACTCCAAAAGTGGGGTGGCCGCTGTAAGACTGACGATATTTTTGGAACTCTCTCTTCTCTTATCAAGATCTTGTCTATTGTTTTGAAGCTATTTTCTTGTGGAATTTTAAAGTAATTATTATTTTAATGGGAATGAGCCACAATTGAAGGTTAAAATAAGTTTATTGACGTTTGTTATTAATCCAACTTGTAAATACAATACATTTTGGAGACGGCTGTCGCCATATTCCCGTTCTCCTCCGCCAATCGTCCCGGTCCAAGGCATGGTTCTCCAAACAAGCTCTACCTGTCAATGACCGTTTCTGTAACATTCATGTTATTTCTTATAGATTCGTTGGTCTTCCTTTCCTCAAATAATCCATTTCAACTGCCAACAATCTTCTCTTCAGGTCTGCATTAATTGTCCATACTTCAGAGCCATAACAAAGAACTGATTCGACCAAGGTTTGCTCTATTCTTTTTTGTTCCTTTTGGAAATGTTACGATCCCACCATAAAGAGTTCAGCAATCCTACAATTTTACGTCCCTGATTAATTCGGTGTTTAATTTCGGTTTGTTCCAAGCCGTTCTTAGCAATGAATGCACCTAAATATTTAAATTTTTCCACTTGTTTGATTTCCACGTCCTCCTCTGTCTACACTTGAAACCGTATCTGAATTGGTAGGTAACTAAGTATTTTGTTTTCTTCATGCTGACTTTTAATCCGCATTTTACAAATTGCCTGTAGACAGATGCTTTATCATAAATTCTAGATCATAAGAATCTTGAGCTAGGACCACTTGGTTATCTGTAAAGTTCAGGGAGAAC